AGTGTAGTGTTTTGCAGGTTATATGTGGTGAGGATGGTGGTAATTGAGGAGGAATCATAAAATAGAAGGCTGAACTAGCACTTAATGTATTTACCTTGTCAATTATTTGTGTACGAGTGCTGAGGTAGCTGCTTCTGCTTTTAAAGAGAAAATACTTAACTTTTTCCTTCCCTTACCCCACCGCCCCCTCCTGTACTTCAGCAGCTGCTGATGACGATGATTGGGATGATGACTGGGATGACCCAAAATCAACTTCACCGTCTTATCTTGGTTACAAGGAGTCTGAGGCATCAGAGGCTGGGGGGGTCCAGCGTGGAAATTCTCGTGCCGCTGCTATGAAGTTACCACTTAACAAGTAATGGAAAATGCAGGGCAAATGTGTATATATTGAGGAGAATTGGAATTTGTCAAGATGTGTAAATGTGTGACCATTCAACCTTCTTGAAATATGCAATGTAAATGTTACAGTTTTGGGGTAAAAGTGGACGTGGATTTGTAGCTCTGCATTCTCCCTGTATGATCAGAGAACACAGATCCATGAAAGTCTGAAAGTACATGACAAAGCTATATAAGTTTTGGAGGCAAATGATATTTTTTTGCAAGGTCTGGACTTCTGGACCTACTGGTCTTTAAAATTTAACTGATTAGATAAAAATCTTAGAATAGAATGAAGCTTTGTCAGGGTTATACTAGCATTATCTCATGTTTGTTTATTCTAAAACTACTGTTACTCTGAGAAGCTACTGTGTGGTAGTCTTTAAGTGGATGAAAGCAAGGTGGAAAAGGATTGTAGAATAATGGTCTCCTTGGGTAGGTAATTAACAGCTAGTCATGCAGAGACAGTTGATGTAGTTCATCAGCAGAGGCTTTGTCCAGTTTTGCAACCTTACCTTTGCATCATTGTATCATCTACTTGTTGCAAACCCATTTAGTACAACCAGCATAAACATACCTTATTTAAGTGATATCAGTCTGCGAAGTAAGTCCTACTTTACTCCTCGTGTTTATGCAAGCAGGCAGTAGGTTGGCAGTATTTGAAGGGCTAAGTATCTTCCTAATTAGAAAGACAACCACCGTTTGCTTTTTGTAAGTCTTCTTACACAGACTTTAAGGACATTACAGTGGGTTTTTTGTGTGGTTTTCTTTCTAATAGGTGGATAAATTAATGTAACTCATTTAGAAGCACATGATAAATCTGCAGTTCATTGTTCTTTCAGATGATTGAATTCTCATAATCTGAAACAGCAGGATGGGGGGTGTGTGTGTGTCTGTGTCTGTGTGCCTTTCCAGAGAGGGTGGACTGCAGGGGAGTGGTTGTTACTTTATGTCCTCCTGTTATGTTTGCCCTGGTGAGTTGCGGAGCACAAATAGCTGCTTTGCCTTGGAAGAAGGGGCTTGTACTACACAAAAGCTAGAGTTCAGTAGTGAAAACTTTTCTGCTTTTTCAGGGCAAATTGTTGGTTGGATAAGTCATCCACAGCAATTCTTTTCCATACTTGAGAAATACTAAGGGTTTTTTCTTATAATGGCAGGTAATTCTGCATATGTCAAAGGAAGGAAAATAATAAACTTATCACTTTGTTTTATTGTTAGATTTCCTGGATTTGCAAAACCTGGGATGGAACAGTATCTGTTGGCAAAGCAGCTAGCAAAACCCAAAGAGAAAATACCCATAATTGTAAGTTGGGGACGTGTGTGTAGTTTTTACGGGTGGGTGTGGTTTATTTTGGGGTTGGATTTTTTGGTTGTTTTTTTGTGGGTAGTTTGTTTGTTATTTTGTTTGTTTATTTATTTGGGTTCTTTTAATCCTCCCCATCTGTCCCTTTTTCCCCAACTTAACTTCTAGCATCATAGCTGTGTGTATTTGGGTCAGGAGAAACTGATAAGGAACATATAATTGGAAATAGAACTGTCATAATAAAACTGTGTTACATTTAAGTATTTTAAAGTTGTGGCAGACTACATTTCAGAGTTATATATCGTAGGGGGATTTTTCAGGGTCAAATTTTAACTCCTTTCTTCTAAGTGTGCTGATTATTTTTTTATTTCTATTATTTTTTTTCTCATGCTGGATCAGCATTACTCGTGATCATGAAAATAAGCCTTTTGGGGTTTGGGAGGCAGAGCAAATGCATTACACTGTCTATCAGTTATCTAGATAGTTACCTAATACATAGGAGCTACATTCATAAAGGTTTGCAGTATTCGATCATGGTGGTCAGGTCATCTTCTGATCTAAAAAACGCAAACTCTTCTAGACATATGCTGTTCTAGTGAAATGTGGTTGAACTAGCAATCCCTAGAATTCACCCCTCCTTTGCTATTTGGGAAAAAATATAAAATACAGAGTAAGATACACAACTGTGGTCAGTCATCTCTGGTTGCAGGAAACCCCTCTATTTCCTGACTATCAAGCTCTAACTGAAATCAATGGAATCTTTCAAGTGAAGAGAGAAAGTATTTGTCTCTTTGGTTGCAGGTGGTACAACATGATGTATTTTAAGATAATATTTGCAATTTCTTACAGATTGGTGATTACGGCCCAATGTGGGTTTATCCTACCTCTACATTTGACTGTGTGGTGGCAGATCCCAAAAAAGGTTCTAAAATGTATGGTCTCAAGAGCTACATTGAATATCAGCTGACCTGCACTGTAAGTGTATCTAAAACAGGATCGTCTCTCCCACAAATATGGGTCATTTGTACATATAAATAATACAGTTTGTATGACTTGGTAACAGGGTTGTAAGAGTAAGCGGTAGTTGTCACACTTATTTCCGCAAAGAGTTACTTTGTTCTGGCATTTCAAGTTCTTCTGTAATTACAGATTCAAGGCTCTAAATCATAAATTTTATTTACTTTCCACGTATTTACTATTCTGGTCACACTTGTTTCATGTCAGTAGCTGTAGATGCCTGTCAAAATTCAGAACTGTGTTTCTTTTCCAGAACACTAATCGGTCTGTCAACCACAGATACAAGCACTTTGACTGGTTGTATGAGCGTCTCCTGGTTAAATTTGGACTAGCCATTCCAATCCCATCTCTTCCAGACAAGCAAGTAACAGGTAATTATTCCCAGTTGTCAATTGCTGGGATGGGAAATAGAGATCACTTTTTTACAAGGTTCAGTTATTTATTATTGTTTTTCTCCCGCTATTTTTAAAGAAGGTACCAAAATCACCCCCAGACTTTCACTATTAAAAATTCATGAGTTGTATGGCCTATTAATAATAAAATATCAGCACTAAGAGAACTCGGGTTTACTCATCTAGTCCAGTGATTTAAAAAAATAATTTAAAAACAAACAAAAAACCTAGTTACTACAGAAGAGAATATTTATTATTACTGGAGAGAAGAGATAACTACTTATGTTCCATATTTGCTGATTGTCTGAAAAAATGGTTTTTGAGGGGTTTTGGGAGGGTGTGGTGGTGGTTTTTTCTTTTGCATTTGGTTGTAAATGTGTTATGTTGTAGGAGCTTTGAAGCAAAGCTCCTGGAAGAAAGGGGGCATCCCCTGACAAACTGGGGTTTTTGCTCAAGTAAAATGTTGCAGCTGTTTCTCCTGTTGCTCAATTTCACACTTGATTTAAAAAGCGTCTTTCATTTGTATAACATTCTATACTGGTTTGATGTCAGTTCAGCTTGACCAAACTGTCTGAAGCTTATGGAAGTCTTTTGTCCTGACTTCAAGAAACAGGGGATTGGACCCTTTCAATGCTCATGAGTTCAATCATTCCAATTGAATATGGCAATGCCTGTGCATTTTCAGTAGTCTCTGGCTTCCTTTCTACAAAGGTGTGCTAGAATGCATGTGAAGTGAAGAACTGGACACCTGTATAGGAGGAAAATGCATTACTTTTGCCTATTTCCACTTGTGTGTTTGCTGGTAAGATTTTTTTTATGCAGCCTTTAAGACAACCAGCCAAAAACAAACATACAAAAGCCGGCATGTTGCCAACCATGTGGCTGCAGGCATCACTGAAAGTGCAGAAGCTCTGCTGTATTTGAAGAAAGCTAAGCATTGATGGAGATCCTGGGATAAATGCCGAGGAAACTGAAAAGTCAGGAAGCAACTTCTTCCCCTCCCCTCCCCTTAGTCTCATGTTTAGAATTCACCAATATTTTTGCTTAAACTGAAAGGAAACCAGAAGGACCTGATGGGATCTCTAGATTTTATTGTAACTATATTTTAAAAGACTCAAGAGTTTGGCATTGCAGTTAAACCTTGCCTGCAGATTTCAGTCTTCTGGAGTCTGTGGGAGAGGATAACTTGACTCATGCTAAAAAAAAAATAAATAAAAAAATAAAAAAAGCCTGCTTCTCCTTCTCTTGTCTTTGAAACATTATGGGAAAACTGTGGAAAAAATGGTGCTTATTTTTCATTGTATTTAGGAGGCTTCTTTCTGAAGACTGTCTAGAAAAGTGTTTCTGTCCATTATCTTGGCAAAGCAAGGCTCTCTACAAGTAAACTGACTTTGCTCAGGGTTATGATTGGCTGGTGATGATGTGCCTAATGACCAGCACCTAACTTCCAAATGTTACTGTACCTGTTGCTTTGCATTCCTTATGCTGGCAGGGATGCTGTGGAGATTTCAGTATAGGTTAAGGGTGGAACAAGGTGTTACTGCAGGTATATATTATATAATGTCACTTCCATAGTAGTTAACTTTTTTTAAAAAAAAAAATTCCTAGCTAATTTGCAGGAGATGTACCCATACCCAGACTTGATTTTTCACTAGCTGTGTTATTTACCTGCTAGTCTTGCTAGTCTCCATATTTGCAATCAAAAAAACCACCAAACCAACCACCACAAAAAAGCTCCTTGTGAAGCTGCTGCCATAGTAACTATACAGCAGAATTATATTGAGTGAGTACATGCGTTCAAGGTTTGTCATCTGTGCTGCTATGGAAATTAGAAGAGTTGAGTGCTGGAATCTCTCATTCCTCTCAAATACATCCTGTTCGCTGTATGCTTTAGAAGTCTGACATCATACAATTTTTAATTGGAAAAGATTCTCTCAAGAAGGCTCAGTTTGTGCTAAAACTATATGGTTCTTGTAAATACACACTGATGATGCACTACTAGTTTAAAAATAAAAAACGTTACTGATTTAAATAGTTTTTGTTAAAACTTCTTAACCACCCAAAAATCAGTGAGTCTTACATGTATGTATTCTAACTGGTTTATACATATGATTTATTGAGATTTTTTCCCAACACATTCATTTACCTATATAGAAATACATTTATGGGAGGTGCTGCCTTTTTAAATCTGCTATTCATATCTGAGCAGTCCAATTTCAAATGCTTTGTTAGCTGCTAGGACATGATAGCTTGGAAAGGAAGTAATTCCTTTTTCTCCAATGTTTTTGAGCCTTACATTAACCAAGGATTTACTAGACTGTGTCAGAAAAATGTCTGCATTCCAAGCCTGTGCCTAGCTTCTCTCTTGGGTCATGTGAATACCTAATTTTTCTATCTGAAAGCTTATGAATATTTTAAAAAAAATAATTAATTGTGAGTGGGTATTATGGTGGGTTTTTTAAATATTTCCTGACTACCTTTAAAAGGGGGAGTCCTCTTGTTCAGTAACCAATATACTGTAATTTAAAATTCTTCTGATTTGTCAGCATGCTGTTTCCTCCTTGTAACTTCTGAGTCATTAAATGGTTGATAACTCACTAGATAAATTAAAACAAAATGTGTAATTTAAAAAAAAAAAAAGGCAAAGGAAAGAAAAGCTGAGGGTACTAGAGTAGAAATGTAACAATTACTGTTCAATGTATAACAGGGCGCTTTGAAGAAGAATTTATCAAAATGCGCATGGAGAGACTGCAAGCTTGGATGACGAGGATGTGTCGCCATCCTGTTGTCTCAGAAAGTGAAGTTTTCCAGCAGTTTCTCAATTTCCGAGATGAGAAGGTAGGAAATAAGGTTCACACACAGAGACTGAGGAATTGCCCCCCATCCCCCTTCGAACTAAGAGTTCAGCCGTGTAGCTTTCTCACTTGTCTGCCACCCTGTGGGCAGCAGTGACAAGCTGAAAACCGCTGGATTTACTGACTAACTTGGCCGATTGGTCACACTGAGGCACGAAGTTGCTTGTGTGAAACGCAGTATGCCATTCCAACAGAGCTGTGCTCTTTGAAGTAGCTTTATTGCCAGTCTTTTGAGGACAGTTTGTGTCCTCCAGCAGAATAGGGAACATATGTAACAACTCCTCCGGCTGGTGCCCTGCTCTGTCTCTGCTGCACTTACTAATCGCTGTGGTCCTGGGATTGGTACTGCTTTGCTAACAGAAGCTACTTCGTAGCAGACCTGGGATGTGTATGATCCTGTATCGTATTGAAAAACAACCCCCCACCTTCAAAACCACAATTTTCACTGGGCTGGGTTGTACTAGCATTATGCTGCAGTCTTTCCTGATATAACCAGACCTTTTTTTATTCCCATGTCCCCCACCCCAGCATTTTCTTGTGCTTTTTTAAGAGGCTTTAATATCTTCACCTTCAGTAAATAATAGCTTCTTCATGACTGAGCTCCAGCTGTGTTAGTAATCTGGGTATCTACCAATGAGGAAGTAAACAGGAGAACTCTGCTGCTTTCTTTTCAAAAGAGTCATACTTCGGAATACACATAGACTTCGCTGAAAAAGTAAATGATCCTTGGAGGTTTTTAAGACCAGACTGGATAAAGGCCTGAGTAACTAGGGTCACATCTGACCATTTTTGTGTAGGAGGTTGGACTACAAACCTCCTGCGGCCACTTGTAACCAGAATTACTTTATGATTCTGTGATGCTGAGTAGAGGCTTAATAACATAGTAAGTAGCAGTCCTAGTGAAGCGCTATTTGGGTGGCCAGTGGAGAGTTGTGTAATTGTACTAGCTAGTCAGTGGTTCTTAGTATCTAACTTATGGACTGATATAAACAGAACAGATGTTGCAATACATGTGGAATTTTTAACCTTTTTATCTGCTCCCACTAAGAACTTAGTATGGCAATTGCATAATAGTCTCATGATCTTGAGTAGCTTCTGGTATCAGCACTATCACATGTACAGAAATGGCTGAATGTAATTGCGCTCTCACTGTATTTCAGTAATGTACGAGAAGGGTCTGTTGACCCCAGAATCTAGAAAACAGAGTGCACAAGGAGGAGGGAGGAAAACTTTAAGAAACCTTGTTCCCACTGAAACTTTCATTTGAATAGTTTTAATTTATGGGTGGTCTGTTGGTCAACTGTTCTCCTAAACATTTCATTCACTGCTTAAGTACATGCCCTTCAAGATGCATGAACAGTGGTTGTCAAACTTCATCTTTTTTTTTTCTTTTTTTCTTTTCTTTCCTCAAGGAGTGGAAAACTGGAAAGCGGAAGGCAGAAAAAGATGAAACTGTAGGAGTCATGATCTTTTCTACAATGGAACCAGAAGCTCCTGACTTGGACATGGTAGAAATGTAAGGTGGTTTCTCTTTGCATAGACATACGTCTGGATATAACACAGATACTAGAATAATAGGTGTGCACATATATTCATGGACTTGAAGAGGTGTTCATCAAGGCAGAGCTGAAAAATCGTTTGAATATGAGTTTTTTCATATCTGCCACCCCCCCAAAAAAAAAAAAAAAGGCAAAACAAACACAACTTGGTTGAACTCCATGTCGTGTCTCTGGCTTCTGGGTCAGCACTGGCTGAATGCTGATCCTAAAATGATTTATGCAAAACTAGTTGACAAGATAGAATACTGGCAGATCCTATGGAGTTGTGTTTTATATTGCTATGGAAATATATTTTGATCTTTAATCCTTCAATTGTGAACAGTTCCAAAGTGTGCTAGACTTACCAAGTAGCTTAGGATAACTGTAGGTGGACCATCAAGGAAAACAACGTTTCTGTAAAGCACTTGTATGTAATGCGCGTACAGTATGATTCTAATATCTGGAATCCATGGAAAGCTATTAAAAAAAAGTGACTTAAATTATCAGATTTCATTTTAAATGGGTTACTACATTTTTGGAGTATTCTTCTGGAAGTGCAAATGGATGTATTTACTATGTTTATGTTATATATACATACACTTTTTTATGTGTAGTTCTCTTGGTGTTAGACCTTTGGGTTTCATTGAGTGAAAGACTGGGTTTGTGCTGCAGCCTTTATTTCACTCCTTTAGGCTTAATCATTTATCGTAGAAGATACGTAGTATGCATGACATGCCTTGCTTGCTGTTGTAGAACACAAACTTGGATAATGTTTTGTCTGAAGCTGTGGATAAACTAGACAGAAGTTTGTAGTAGCAAAGCAGCAGTGTACCTACATCTGCAAATATCCCAGCATAGACTGTTCAAGTGATGCAGTGCATATTAAGATGTATGTAATAGCTGTGTGGTAGCAGTTCTGTGCTAGTAAAAAAGATGGATGTTTTAGGTTACATCCACTTCCAACATGAGGATTTCAAACTTGACAACTTTTAAGTGATGTGTTATATATAGATCCCAGTGATACAGAAGAAAGGGTGAACGAGAGGGAGGATTTTGTACATAGAGCGCAGGAGAGAGTGAGTCTGTATTATGTACAGAACTCTGTCAGGGAACGACCAGTATATGGTCTGCTAAACAGTGTCCCCAAACAGGGTGAGGGCAGGTGAGCACCCTGTGGGGAATGCTCACCAGAGGGTATTAGCTCCCGGGCTGGGGCTGGCACCCTGGAGTGGTTCTGGGGACCTATCTCAAAGCATTGCCGGGGTGTCTGTAACACCTCAGATATCCACACCGTGTTCCAGTGCCTGGGAATGTCTTGGAGTGCTGTTACAAGTGTGTATGAACACAGTCTTGAAAGCCATTACTCCTGTAAGTGGACAAACCAGACTGTTGAATAGTTCTTAGGTTATTCAGTGAGAAGACACGCTTTACTGAAGCAATTCTGCTAGTACTTTGGCAGTCCTGTGTCACCCTGGTTTTGATCAAAGGACAGTAACCCTGTGCTGGTTCATGAACTTTTGCTGTGATCGTAAGACTATGAAGATGGGAAAACTAAAGGATGGTTTGCTACTCGGAAAATGGGAGTAAGGGCCTCTTGGAAACCCAGGTCCTGTTTCTGTGCAAGTAACTCTTCAGGTAGGGTTTCCAGCTGAGAAGGGAGGTGGTGGTGGGGAGGTGGATGCCACAGGTGGTTGGGCCACAGCTGGAGTGCAGTCCTGGCTCTGGGGAGTTGCTTAGGGCTGTCTTGCTGCAAGAGCTGTCTCGTACAGGTCTTGGCTAAAAGCATTTGTAAGATCTGATGCAGTTTGAATAATTCTCATTGAAAATTAGAAAATCTGTGTCTGGTTTTCTTTTGTAGAGTTCACAAAGTATTGCTGTGTATGCAGTGCGATGTTAATGGAAAGCTTTGGTAGCTACATTAAAACATGCTTAAGGAGGGGTAAAAGGCACATACTAATTCAGAATTCTCTTCTGAGTATCACTGGGGTTTTCTGGGTTTTTTTCTCTCTCTGTAGCATAACTGAACACAATGGTATCGTCAATATAATATAAAGATAAGCCTATATATTTCCCTAGAAGAACTGCTATATTAATTTTTCACCTCCTTTAGATGTTTATTAAAATGTCTGGAACAATTATTTTCTTTATATGTGTTCATTGTTGTATGAATTTTGCTACTTCTGTTACTGTAACATCTAATTTCCTGTCAATGTGGGATACTTCTGTTTGTATTAAGTGCTCTAAGGATGCATTTTCCTCAAATCATATTTTGCTGTTCTGTTATTATTTGATTTCATTGAGGAGGATATTTAGCTAGTAGCTTTTTTTTTGAATGTATCTAACTATAGTAAGAATGATGGTTCAGTACCATGTGTTTAACAGAGGGGTAAAAATGCCTGTATCTAAAGAGGGAAATTCTGACCCCAGTGAAATGGCAGAGAGATTTCAAGAAATTTTATTTCTCAGATTTATTTTTTAAAAGACCTAGTTGACACTACTGAACACTTCAGTATTGAATTTAAAGTTAGCGTAATGCATCTGTTAAATGCTTTTTGGTTTTGCTTTTTCCAAATGCCACAGAGAACAGAAATGCGATGCAGTGGGTAGGTTCACCAAAGCAATGGACGATGGAGTTAAAGAGCTGCTGACAGTAGGACAAGAGCACTGGAAGAGGTGTACAGGGCGTAAGTGTCGCTTTTGAACTCAGCAGTCATTTCTGTGTTGCTTTTCTCTGTGGGTCTTTTTGACAGCGTTTTTGTTGTTTATAGTTTAAGGCACATCTTAAAACTAAAGGAAATCCTAAATTATCATGAGAATTGTATGGCATTCTGGCTGCTTTCAGTGTCTGAGAGTATAAATTGTGCAAATTTTTTGCTTGTGGTTTTGTTTGGGTTTTTTTCTTTCTCTCATACCAGAAATAGCTGGTCCCTGTATAGGTTCAAAAATATTGAAAGTTAATTCAAGTAATCCAGCTAAAGCCTTTGTTGGACCTGTTCTCATATATTTGTCATTTATCTGTATTTTAGTGATGTGCGCAAAGTAGGCCTGTCTATTTGATGAAATCATAAGTGATTGCATTTTATTAACCCCTTATTTAGGATTCTTGCATGCCAGGAGGAGTGATTTAAAGATGAAATGAGTTTAAAAAAAAGAAAAGAAAAACCAACTTGATTCTAACTTAATCTTTAGCCCAATTCTTTTTCTCCTATCTTGTTTCTTCCTTCCCACAGATATTTAGGGTTGCAGAACTTCACACCAAGTCCCTATGACTCTGCCTGGGCTCTAATTTCCTAGTCCACAGCAGTGTTCAGTGTTTGTGGCCACCACAAGGCAGCTATTGAAAGGAAGCAGGTACTACAGCTGAGGATCATAATAAGAAACACTTCAGGGCAGGCTGTAGTGGCTGGCGACCAAAGACCTATCACATAAATCTCTTCCAATTTTTTTTCTTTCCTTTTTCTTTTCCCCCTCTCTTTTTAATTCCTAAAAAAAAAAAAAAAAAAAACCAAACCCTAAACATTGTCCCCAGACTTGAGATTAAGTACTCTCCTGAGTTACTACTTTGCTGCTTTCTAATCTAACACTGCAGTTCAATATCTGGGGCTGACTGGAGGGAATGGGAAGTATAGAAGCCCAGTCTTTTCTCGTAGTGATTACGTTAGACCTTAGTGTATCTATCTAAATAGAATAGAAATCTAAATTATTTAATGTTTCCCCACTTTGAATAAGAGGGTTTCCTTCTATACACACTGACCATCCTGCTAGTCAAAAATAGGCTAACACAGGACACAGCTGTAACATTGTACGGATTTCACTTCACTAGGAAATGATACTGAGGGGTAAGCGGAAGGCGAGGGAAGGAATAACATTGCTCAGAAGAGACCAGAAAAACAGTGTTGCTTTGCAGTACAGAAGCAATGATAAAAACAGCCATAGTTAAAGGGCTGGCTGTGACTTTTGCTTTCAGCAGAAATTCAGTATTTTGTTCACTGCTAAGATCTCCCTAAACTTTTGACACTACTGCTTTAGGTATGAAATGACTCTTACAATTCTTACAACTATCAATTACTTAGCATAAACATAGTAACTCAGATATGATTGTGTTGAAAATTTTAACTTTTAACTTGCCAGACATTCATACTGAATAGAAAAGGGAGTCTGGTGCATCAGGACATGCAAAACTGAAGAATTTCAGTAGTCCCTTAGGTTTTAAGTTTCCTGTCAGCTCCAGTCCCAACTCCTAGTCAGAAGTATTTTTGGCACTTCCTGAGCAATAGTTACATGCATTCCATTCTAAGATATTTAAAATGACAGTGGAAACTTCTTAAGTGAAGAGTGAAAAGAAACGAAATGTTCTTCATTGAAGTTTCCACTGGGGATTTAGTAACAAGTTAGTGGCTGGTAACAAAACTTTAGTACTCTGAATGGTACCTGTTTTAAAAGAAATACCAGTTATCATAAATAATCTAACTTCTGGGCAAGAACTTGGTGAAAGATAACCAATAAAATTATGCAGTTTGGGGGGTTGGGTTTTTTGTCTTTTGTGGTGGTTTTTTACCACACAAAGCGGTTCCTGTGTGAAAATCAGATTGTTTGGGATGCTAGAGCAAATAAAAAACCTGCTATTTATCTGGGCAGTGTACCCTCTGAATGCAACTATTTAACAAAAAAAGCACATTTACTTGTTCTGGTTTGTTTAGTTTGGTTTTGGTGTTGTGTTTTTTTTTTTCCTGCTAGCATAGGTAGTTTATAAAATTGCTTTCCCTTTTCAGATTGCTTTTTAGGCCTCTGGGGTGGTGGTATTCAAAGTGTTAATAATGAAGGCGCTCACAAATCACAGCTTATTGACTTCATTGTGAGGAAGTAATTTATGCATACATTTTCAATAAATAAATCATAAAAACTAATTTCATTATTCAGATACTTGCATCCGTTTTAATCCCTGGATAATCTTGGTTTATAGCACCTTTAAATATAAAATTCATTATTTGAGGAGAGTTTAGGTACTATATGTCTGTATAATAATCTCCTCTTTGATATAGATTTACTCTCTGTATCACAGC